ATGTCCTATAATCAGAAGGTGTTCAGAAATGGAAACTTTCCCCTTGATATAAGTAGAATTTAATGATACAGTCTGGGCAATTTCTTCAGGCTTGGCCAAGAGCTATCTTGAAAGGAAGGATCAACTTTCAGAAGAGGGGGTCTGATTGCTGAGATCTACCTTCAGAAATAAGAGGCAAGTTTGGACTGCTGCATTCAATATCGGGGTGATACTCCAGTTACCCTAATTTGATTAATACACACTATATGCCTGTATCAAACCATCACACATAGGTGCGATGAGCACCACCTGAGAGTAGGACATGCTTAATGTTTTGGTAAGGGGGGGGGGGGGGGGCATGGGGAGGAATGGCAGGGGCAATATATGTAACCCTAATAATATTTGTACCCCCATAATATGAAAAAATTTAAAAAAATCACATATACCCTATAAAATATACAACTATTATGTACCCATAATAATTAAAATGAAAAACTTTTAAAGAAATATTTCAGTCAACAGAGGAATTCAGGAATCAAGAGACCAAGGATTACTCTGCCATTACTTTGAGACTTCCCCTTGGTTGTTATTTTTGTCACCCTAGTCAGTTTCCTATTACCACTAAAATCCCTAAAGTAACATTTTAAAATAATGTGCATTCCGGAATAGTGGTGAGGAACTGCTTCACACTGCAGCCAGACTTGAATTTGGAGAGAAAAATCACAAAGGATGGAGGGAAGCAACTGTGGAAGAGTAGAGGATATAGTCCAACTTCCCAGGGAAACTCAGGAAGAAAGGAAGAGAAGCAATCAGATCTGAACCAGAGAAGGAATTCTGGGAACCAAGATACGGTGTAGGATCCAGCAAGGAAACTTGTCTCTCAGTTTGTAAGAATTCAAGCTTTTCTTTTTCTCTCTTTCTTGGTTTACAACTTATTCTAAAATCTGTACTCTAGTACATAATAACTCTTTCTTACAACTTTTTCACAGTTCTTTCTAAAAGAATTTATTTGGTGGGTTTAGTGAATGCTGAGAAATCCAGCTCACTAGGAAATAAATTCAACTTAACCAAACTTCCTGGATAACCAATATATGAATTTATCTCCAATTCAAGAATGAACAGAGCATTGTTTTACCAAATGTGATCATTTTCTGCCTTTGAGAAGAAACTAGGGAGACTTGAGCTAAGCCAATTCGGAGTATTTTAGATAGGTCTTCAGCTGAAATCTGGAAATGAAAGCAAAAGAGAAGAAAAATAAATAAATAAAAACAGTTTATGATCTTTGGGAAACAAATAGTTTGGAGGAAAAGTTAATTTTCAAAGGTTTCCATACACCCCATGACTACTCCCTTTCCTTCTAGGACCCTTCCGCCTCTCCTCATTTCAGTTCTGAGTTAGAAATACTGGAACTGATCACTTTTCAGCCTCAATAAGTCCTTGCTAATTATTTTAACATTTTAGGTTCAGGAAACCCAAACCCAGCGTTTGTTAAGTGCTCTTTGCCTTGATTTGTATGCCCTCTTATATTTCAAGGGAAGTCGAGTCCATGTGTTTCTGATTCATTTTTACTTAACTCATCAAGACATTGTTTCATAAAAGCCATTTGATGTCCAAAGATTTTGCTGAAACTTTTGTTCATGAAACCATAATGCCAGTGAAGTAATATGTACTTTATAGCAAAAGAACAGAATTAGGAGACCCAGGAGCTAACTATTCTTACCTCTATCCCTGACTGGCTTTCATTCAATGGTGAGTCCCTTTCCAGATGTTGTATGTGTAGAGATAACAATATTTTATACAAGTTTGGAGAACTGTATAATAAAATGTCATCTTAGAGAGTCTTTCTTAAGAGTAAGTACCAAAATAGTTCTCAAGTTAAAAGAATAAGTTTTTGCCTGGTTTTGAGGTTGATATAGTGGTTCTCCTGGCCAAGTACCACAACTCAAAATTAATGTTTCAAATGATCATTAGGTCAAACAAAATGTTTCCACCTGAAAGCATGATCTTTACATGGACTTATACACTGAGAAAATGCTATGTTTTCTACTGGTTTCCTTTTTGAGCCACCAATCATTTTAACAATTTGCAGAAGGATAATGGGTAGATATTTGCCATAGAGAGAATTTTCCATTTCTGGCTGAAAGACATAATATTTTGTTTTATTTGGGGAGCATCAAATACTGAAAGTCACAATTCCTCTAGAGTGGCAACAAATTTAGCAGGCATCAACAATGCAATTTTGAAGAGTTAATTTGTTTTAGCTTTCTACTAGGCTCATTCACCTGCTGGCTATTTCTGGTCTCTGAGTTTCCAAGTAGAAACCTTGATTATTTACCAGGTCTTCAGAGGGCAAAATTGGATTCAAAAGTCAGTTTTGACTGGGATCAATAGCAGAAATCAAGGGACTTCTCAATCAAAATGACAAGGAAGTTGCAGAAAACAGGTTCAAACAAAATAATAGGACCTGTCTCTCTCACTCTGTGCCTCAGTAAAAGAGAGTGGCCCTGGGGCTGATGGAGACCTTTAAACATTAGCTTTCCCCAAACTACTTGTTTCCCAAAGTTCACAAACTTTGTGTGTGTGTGTGTGTGTGTGTGTGTGTGTGTGCACGCACGCCTGGTATCAGGCAAAGGGCCCAGTGAAACATCGCCTAAGAGCCTACAGAACAGACTGAGATGCACAGGCAAAGTCTGTAGACATGTAGCCCTGTTTTCTCAGCGTCCTAGTAACAGGTGTATATGGCTTGGGCATGGCCAGGCACAACATGGGTATGGTGCAAAAAAGGACCAGACCCTCTCTTCTTCTTTTTATAAAGTTCTTAGGAAAGTAACCTTGTGAAAAGTGCAGCAAAACAACCTGAGTTTTGTCACTGAGAAGTACCCACCAGTGCTGTTATACCAGCTGCCCAGCACCCACATGCCCTGGAGACCTTACAGCAAGTTGAGATCAGCCTCTGCCCCTCTTGCAGAGGTTCCAACTGATCCCAAATGGTTCTTGCCAGGCAACCTAGAGAGATTCAGTGAACAACCTTGCTCATGTCTCCACAAATGGCAAGCTGTTGAGACCCATTAGGAAAATACTCACTGCTTGCCCAGAGAGCAAGATGAGGAACCCAGGAAAGACATAATATCTGTATTTGATCCATGGCATTAAAAAAAACTCTCAAGAAACTAAGGACCAGCCTTCTAGGAATTCACAGTCCAGTGAATGAGGTCAGAAACCAAACAAGAAATATTTGTCCGAAAATAAGAAATTCCTTCTTTTTGAGGTTTATTGTATGAGTTTATAATTATTCCTGCTTCAGAATCTCAGAGGCTTCACCTGGGGTGAGATCACAGTGTCATCTCCCAGATTCACTCTCTCTCATTCTAGGTCAGAGAAAATGCTTTCTTCTCTAAAGGGTGTCTATGTGTTGGATCAGGTATGCCAGTCCACTCCAGTTACCTGTTGATCAACTTCCATAGTTACTTGGTACCTCCTCTATCCCACTTCCTTCCAAGCTAGGCGTGAATGAGCTGCATTGTTGGTAGTTTTGAAAGGCTGCAAGTTCTGAAGTTCCATATTCATAACTCTCAAACTGCCATGAAAGAGTACTTGCTTTATCTAATCAAGGATATATATGAGAAATGGGAATAAAATTTAGAAGCATATAAATAGATTTACTACTTGTAAATCTTAAAATGCTTTGAAAAGCATGAGGCCCTTAAATAGATGAATCTGGCTGATTTTAGAGATGATAATTTAGTGAGAGGGTGTATCTATTGCTGTACAGCAAATCATACCAAAACTTAGTGGTGTAAAATAATAAGAACCATTTATTATCTTTCAGGTTTCTGTGGTTCAGGAATTTGGGAGTGGGGTAGCTGGGTGGTTTGGGTCTAATGAGGTTACAGGCAGACAGTAATCATCTTGAAGACTTCATTCATGTGCCTGGTGCCCCAGCTGGAAAGATTTAGTAGCTCCCCTAGCTGGTCTCTCTACTTCTTCTCTGCATCATGGCAGCTTTAGGGTATCTGGACTTCTAACGGAGCAGCTCAAGTCCCCAGTGGCACATCTCCTAAGACATAGAGTCAGGCAGAAGCTGTATCACTGCTCCTAACATAGACTCAGAGGTGTCATAGGGTGGCTGCCCCCTCATTCTGTTTGGAAGAATTAAGTAACTAAGCCTGGCCGAATTTCAAAGGGAGGGTAATTACATTCCACCTTTTAATTGCAGGAGTGTCAAAGAATTTGCAGATCTGTTTTAGACATCATAGAGAAATTCAGGAAAAGGTGAATGCCAACTGCAAATGACAACTAACTAGCAAACTATAAAAGCTAATGATCATAATTTCTGTTGACATTTCTTTAAAATTTGTCATGAATCAAATTCAGACCTTTCAAATTTTCTCAATATGATAAAAATCCTTTATCTAGTTTCTAATTTTTGTTACATATAGGTTTTCTTAATGACATCTTTCTTTTTGTTTTAATTGCTCAAATTTTGTTTTATACCTACTATATGCTAGGCATATGCTAAACAATTGAGATACAAAAGCAAATTTACACAATTCATGCTTTTAAGGAATTCACAATCAGATTTACAGTTTCATGTGACCACTGCAAGATTAGATGCATAAACAAGATGTAGAGATGGAATAGATATGGGAAACAAAAATAACCTAATAAAATCATACCCTTTAGTCTTATTCTCCTTCACAGACTTGCCAAATTAGACTTTAATTCCACTTATTTTAAATGTGCTATAAACCACATTGATATTAGTTTGTAAAGTATTCCTTAATACAGTTCTTCAGGGTTAAAGTCAGAAAAAGATTTTCCAAGTTAAAAACACAAAGACACACACAGAGGTTCCTATTCTAGAAATAAATTATTGAGAGGTCATTTGGTTCACCCCCAGGCATTCAGGCAGATCTCAGCCTAGCCCAAATCTATGGAAATCTATCCTACTATGTTCAAGATAGTGCTAATAGGAACAGGTCTTACATTTTATATGTTAAAAGACATTTACTATGCTGCAGGAGGTCTTGACGGCATGTGAAAACCCTAAGAGGAAGCACGTGGAAGAGGAAGATGGCGCAGGACAGCACGAGGGAAGGCTGGGCTCAGAAGCAGGAAGAAGGAAGAAAGTCACTAAGGCGAAAAAATATGGTCATCAAGAAGTTGGGTAAGTAAAGAGGCAGAGAAGAATCAATATATAATACAATGCCATGACAGCCAAGGGGGAAGAATTTTCAGAAGGAGCAAGGAGACAACCCTAAAAATGAACTCTGTAGGGCAGGAAGAAAGAAGGCTGAGATCAGTGCTGCAGGGATCACAAGGCAGTGCAAGGTGGGCACCGCTGACCTTCACCCAGCAGCGTCCACTGAGTGGTGGAGAAGCAGCTCAGGTTGTCCTGGATTCCCTAACACACTATTACCGATGAACAGCCCTATAGGACTACCTGGATTGCATCAAATTCCTCAATGTGACTCAACAGCTATGCATCTGTTGTGCTTCTAGCTGCTCTCAGTGGCTCCACACTCCCCACCAAAGAGATTAAATTCCTTAGCCCAGTATTCATTGTTTTCTAATATCATTTAGACTGGTTTAGCAACCACTACACCCTCACATGCACACTTTTTTTGTCAAAATATGATTATGCTAATAAAAAACCTTTATGACAAATTTATTCACAAGGGCACATCTAAGTTTTTTTTTTTTTTTTTTTGAGACAGAGTCTCGCTTTGTTGCCCAGGCTAGAGTGAGTGCCGTGGCGTCAGCCTAGCTCACAGCAACCTCAAACTCCTGGGCTCGAGTGATCCTTCTGCCTCAGCCTCCCGGGTAGCTGGGACTACAGGCATGCGCCACCATGCCCGGCTAATTTTTTATATATATATTAGTTGGCCAATTAATTTCTTTCTATTTATAGTAGAGACGGGGTCTCGCTCTTGCTCAGGCTGGTTTTGAACTCCTGACCTTGAGCAATCCGCCAGAGCTAGGATTACAGGCGTGAGCCACAGCGCCCGGCCTAAGTTTTTATTTCTTATACTGCCAAGGAAGAAGTCCATAGAGGCTAATTCAAAGATTCACTTTTAGTAGGGGCATGTTGTGGGAAAAGAGAATGTTTAGATAAAAATTTTAGACAGAATTCAGGAAAAATAATCTGGTTAAAGAGCATCAGTGGGGGAGATGAGAAGCTGACTTCCCAGAAGAGCTCTTCATTGCATTAAATAAAGTTTATCAGAAAATTGCTTAAGCATTTATCTGGAATGCTAGCTTCTTTTGTAAAAGAAAGTTGGCTGTGAACTGTCTCAAACACACACACACACACGTTTTATCCCTGACTAAATTTGTGACAATTTTCTTTCCCATCTATTTGTCCTTTTGTGTGTATGTATACGTCATGCTCTCTCAACATCAGAATGTGTTTTATGCTTTCGTAACCATCCCTACCCACCAGCTCCTTCTGCTTCTCTTTATTCAGGCCAAGATCAAATGTTCTCTCCTCCCAAGAATGTTTTCTTTCTAGTCTAAACTACAGTCCTTTTATTGTTACATTCTTGATTTTAATTGTTGTTTGTATTTAAATCTTCTATTTTAACTGTAAGTAATAATAGTCTTTTCCTCTCTATATGTGCATCAGTATTCAATAAAGATTGGAATAACAAGTGTATATAACTAAATCCATAGAATATGAGATATTTTATAATGCAATACTGAATAGATTGTACTTCAAGGAAATATTTCACAATCTAAATTAATTACTGCATTAGTCAGATTAGATTCCATGGTGAAAAACTGAAAACTCAAAATTACAGTGCTTGAACAGGTTAGACATGAATTTGTCTCCCTTTGAAGACAGCCCAGAGCTTGGCAGTCAAGAGCTGGCACAGTGACTCCAGGGCCCTTCTATCTTTTTGCTCCAGCATCCTCAGGGTGTGGCTTCCTCCTCGTAGTTCAAGGTAGATACTTGATCTTTAGCCATCACATCCTCATTCCTGCCAGCAGGAAGGAAGAAAGGAAGAAGGGCATGCCCCTTCTTTTTTTTTTTTTTTTTTTTTTTTTGCCCCTTCTTTTTAAGGACACATCTCAGAAGTTGCACACAGCACATCCAATTACATCCCACTAGCCATAACTTAGTCACACACAGCACCCAGTAGTAGGGAAAAGTGAGGAACGTGCACAGTTTAAAAATCATGGGCTCTGCTACTACAGAGGAAGAAAGAACAAATATTGAGAGATAGCTAGAAGTCTCTACAACTTATTCTTATTATCCTAATGTTTACCAAATTTTGCTAGTCAGGAAATTCTTATTCTTATTTAAATTGGTTTGTCATATCTAGTGCATTTTTCCTATTGGGCAGGTTCTCTCAGTAAATACTAATAAATTCCTTGTTTTTTGTGTTTCCTCTTTTTTTTTTTTTTAAGAGATAGGGGTCTTGCTATGTTTGTTGTCCAGGCTGGTTTTGAACTCCTGGGTCCAAGCTATTCTCCCTCAGCCTCCCAAGTAGCTAGGACTACAGATGTGCACCATCATGCCCCATGATTCCATTTTTTATGCAAAATATGAGTTTCAAGCTCTGGGAGATTTTACATATATTTTTATATGATCAAAAATATTGAGGAACATTTTTATGTAAAACATTATGGTCCCCAACTTTTTTTGTTACTGAACCACAATCAGTAAATTTTAATCCCCCCAATGTATTTATTCTTATTTAGTATACTTTTTAGACATATTACTATATTAATGTATTATACAATATATTATAAAATTATAATTTTTAATTATAAAAACTATAATTGATGAGATAAGAAATTAATATAAGTCAAAGTTCTAATATTGTCTTCCTTCACACTAGTGGACTTTCTTAGGCAAACACCAATCTAACAGATGTTAAGTATCTTGGCTTATGCTCTTCAGTCATCACACATATCATTATTTCAATTTAGAATTCAACCAAAACCTAACAAAGAAAGCTAGAACAAAATGCTAACAATATAAGTTGTTATATTGTTATGTCCTACACGGAAAAAAAAGAACAATTGTTGAAACCCCACATTTTGGGTCTGACAAACAAATTAGGTGTCTCGACAAAATGTCTGCATTGAAAAACCCATTTGGGCTTTTCCACAACATACTTGAATTTGCTAAAGAGTTCAATATCTTCTTGTTTATGAAGCTTTAATTTTACTACTATTGGGTTACGCATTTGGAATAAACAAGGAACACCGCTGTTCTGCTCATTGTGGTCCTGAATTACAGGGCCCTGGAGAAGTGTGTTGGGCACTATAGAGTCTCGATTTCAGTGTGCTGTGTGTGTCCTATATGTGCTTCTATAAAATGTGTGTGCAGACTTGAAAGCTTTTTCAAACGAAGCTGTAGCTGAAGTTGCTGGACCAGTCATGTTGCATTTCCCTAAAGGCAAAACCCAAAATTGACAGCTCTCACTTTGTGTTACAGAATAAAACGAAGCAATCAGGACCAAGCAGATCCCTGCCACGTAGCTACTTACTGATATCAATTACTTAGCCTAATTATCTTGACAAAGTATACTATTCATTTAAATCTTTCATTTTCTGAAGCCATAAAAGCAACAGGAACCATAGAAAAAAGGGATCATGCCATCTTGAAATTACTATTATATAAGATGTAAACTTTTGGTTAGAGTCAGGCATATACCCAAGGCCTTAAGACTAAAAAGATTTGAAAAGCCGTTTAGAGAAGTTTCAACATGGCATTGTGAAGAGAAGAGTTTGAAAGAGGACATGGCCTAAGAGAGATGGCAGGCTCTAAAAATGAAATTCTGACCACATTGTGATGAATAAATGCAGAGATAAAGGCATCAGTAAAACTGCCCAGACATTCTCTGATGAGTTTAGATTTTAAAAGAATACCTGTATACAGGCAAGGAAGGTCATATAATCAAGGACACAAATTGTGAAATGTATAAGAAAATTGTCAGAATCGTTAATGTGCTGATAAACCAAAGCTTACAAAAGTGACAAAAGCAATAAGCCTATCATTTCAACTCTGTTTTAAACCCCTGATGTGAACAAGAAAGTTAAATGTACATTACTAGAGATGACAGTTTAATGCTAATAGATGAGAGAAGAATTTCAATCAAAGAAAATTATCTTCAAAACTTAAAAGTCAAGCATGGGTTACAAGAGGACGCAAATTTCCAGAAAGGAATTGGCTGCTTACGTGAATCCTATGCTCCACTTCCAGAAGACTTGCACCCCAGGATCCTAAAGGAACTTCTAGGCAGGATTATGAAGTAACCATTGAATTAAGAACAACTAGAGATAAGTCAGGAGATGAATAAAACAGATTCACTTTGGATTTTCAGAAGGTGGGACATGGGGGTTTGGGACCAGATTCTAAAAACAGTAGAGAAGTAGACATGATGCTGTTATCTTGCAAAATTCCAGAGATGACTATTAAACAAGTGGCTTGTGGACTTCACAAAACAAAATGCCAATCAGTAGGATCTAGTAAGTGTTCATGATGAAAATCCACTCCAGATGGGCCTTCAGTAAGACAAATCAATTCTCTTTTTAATAAGGTAAATAGATGGATAGATAATGGGCATTTGCCATAAACATGGCAGAGAGGAACTCCTGCAAGACAGTCTCTACAGACTTGAGATGCAACCTTTAAAGGTATGCCACAAGGAGCTTTCTTTTCCTTTTAAAAAATAATTTATTTTCTAATTATATAAGCAATATATTTGTGAGCATGTGGGCACAGTATTTCTTTGACTCCAAGATGTAATTCATTATGAGATAATGCATCAATGTAAAAATAGCTTTTTGGGTTGAGAAAGGAATTATATTAAATATTTAATTCATTCTAATTCCAGAAGCACTGAAATATTGAAAACTCTACATTAGAATTGAGGAAATACACAAATACATATATACACATACATCATTTACAGAATTGAAATCATATATTTTATTCACTTGGTATTTGACTCTCATGTCATTAAAAACTCTATAAACATAATTCCTAGTGAATCAGTTACATATTATAATTAATTGCTACTTTACTATTCTGAAAATTTTATTATTTTTCTTATAAATAATTTTTCAATTTATTGTTCAGACATATTTATCTGTATTTCTGATTATTATCTTGGGGTACATTTCCAGAAGTGGAATTATTAAATAAAACAATATATATGTTTTAAAGATTCTTGATACACTGTACCAAACTACTCAGAAAGCTTGTGCTAAATCACATTACCACTAGCATTTATTTGAGAGAGAACCCATCTTAACACCAGTCAAAATGTTCTTTTCTTTTCAAATTCTTTATTGATCCAGTAGGGAAAAAAATCCACATTTCCTTTAACTTGGTTTGATTTCATTATAGTGACAATCAATATTTTTCCATATGAATATTACTATTTGTGTTTCTTCTGTGAATTGTCTGTTCTTGTCTTTTATCCATCTTTCTAATGAAAATTTATTTTGCTTGTCAATTGTTATATCATCTTCATAATATCAAAGATATTAACCATGTCTGCCCTATTTGTTGCAATTTTTTGGTTTTTTGTAATACACATTTGTGTTACGTTGTTTTAAATCTCTCTGTTCTTTTCTTTATCTTTTTTTAAAGCCCATCCTAAAGAATGTATGCCTTTTCATTGGAAAGTTTACAAAATTTACTTCAATTTTTATATTTGATATTTGACCTTACCACTAACATTTTGTTTATTCCTTTTGTTTTGGGATAATGTCTTGCTGTTTATTTTGTGTGTGCCTGTGTTTTGCTCTATGATTGGTGTTCTGATTGCTTTTATCTTCCATGGTGATTTGGAACATAGACATCCTATTTTTTTTTATTTGGATGGTGGTTATTGCTAAGTTTTCAAATCACATGTGAACCTATGTTTCATAAAATATCAAATTCATGAATGAGACAAAACCTTTGATTTTCCTGAAGTGAGATTACAAATTCTGTGGTGTATTTTTACATCCTCATCTCTTGCCACATTCACTTTCCGATTTTCATTGATATCATCTGGGATTTAGATCGAGATGATTATTACTAACTTACTAGTTCTCCGGTTTATAACTTTTAGAGTAATTTTTATATTCACTCTGTAAGAAATTATTTATCTTATCTTTGTTGTCAATTTGGATGAATGTAACACCAGTTATTTTTATTTAAATATACGTCTGTCTAGTCTCATTGCTCACACTCACTAGCAGTCCTTTTATATTCGAGCATTTCGGTTTCTGGGTCCCTAGTTTTTATGTGATTCTAGGCAGCTAGATTTTTAAAGGCTAGAACAATAGATTGACCAGATGAAATTTAACAATAAAGCTGGAAAAGTAATGCACTTAGGTCAAAAGGTTAAACTAAATAAATACAAGATGGAGGAGTCTCTAGCAATAATTGTAATGAAAAAGACTAGCAGATTTGAGTCCTCGATATAAGCAAACCATTGTAATGTGATGGCTAAAAAACGCTAGCACAAGTACAGTAGTCATGCTAATAAGCACAAATGATAGAACAAAATGGTACTAATTCCACTTACTAGGTACAAGCTAGGGAGTCTTTGGCTAGAGTACTCAGATCAGTTCAAGCATCTTAACATGTAAAAACCAGCAAGCATTGAAAAGAGCAACTAAGACAGAGAAGAGTCTAAAAATCATATGATATAAATATTGATTGATGACATTGGGAGCTTGAAACCAGGAAAAATGAGGTGTAGGAGCTCTGATAGTATTCCTGTATTTGAAGGGCTATGACAGAGAATAAATTCAGACTCATTGCTCCCAGGGCCAGGTGTAGGAGAATGAATAAAGTTTTTCAGAGGAAAAGATTGTGATGCAACAGGAGGAAATTTCTTACAGTAAGAATAGTCCAAAATTGGTGTGTGCTGCCTCAGACACTCTCATGCTCCCCAACCCCTTAGAAAGTGGATGATATCTTTTGAACATGGTACATGACCTATATGATAATGGCAAAAAAAAAGTTAATTAGAAATGTGCTGAGGCAAAAATATTATTGTGTGCAATTTCCTAGCTTTCTCCTCCTTGCTACACCACTATCCTCTTTGCCCCCACCCCTAATATCTCTCCTAAGGAGAACTTTGCTCCCACCTGCTCCTTTTCTCCCCCTTCATCTTTGAGGAGGGGTCTGCTTTGGCCAGGCCAGGCTCTGGGCTTCTTGTATAGAGGCACCAGGTCTGGAGAAGTGGAAGGAAAGTGGGAAACACTCTTCTTGCTTGCTGGCTCTGTTTCTAGAATTGCTTTGTTATCAAGAATACAGGGAAAATGTGAATAATATTTTTAAAGGGTTGCTTGATAATTTTTAAAAGGTAAAATGGTGGGATGGTTGGGAAAAGGAAGATAGGAAAGCCTAGCTTCCTCTCTGAATGTTGGCAGGGTTTGGAGTTTCGGGAGGCTGTAAAGCATCAGCATGATGTGGGAGAGAGGAAGAGAAGAGAAAAGAGGATGAGAGCAAGTTCTGAAGTACAGTCGGTCTGCTGTTCTGAAATAAAGAGGTATGCTCCCTGCCTAGATTGGCCTGGGACAAGAGTCTCATAAAAAACTAAAAAGAATCAGGTCAGGAGAACCTACAAGAGTCTCTGGATCCCATTCCCACGGCAAAAGTTACAAGACTTAGTGATGAGGAACCAAAATTTTAAATCAGAACCCTTCTCCCACTTTAAATATTGTACAAATGGGTATCTATACCTGTGTTAATATTACTTATGTAGGGTTGTCTCCCCAAAGTGTGGATTCAATAGTCATTCTCTATTAACCATTCTCTGCTTTCCTAAAGTCTAACTACAAATTCCTCCAGTGTGTGTGTGTGTGCTTCCCTATTCCAATCAAAATGCTGTTGCCCGAAGAGGGAAAAAAAGGAAAAGCAAGACCCCTTCCAAATGCTGTCTCTTTGATTTTTATGTTGTTGTTGAGTGTTGTGATGCTTAATTTTATGTGTCAACTTGGCTGGGCCACAGTGACCAGAAATGTGGTCAAACAGTATTCTTGATATTATTTTTGAATGATATTAACATTTAAATGAGTAGACTTTGAGTAAAGCAGATTGCCCTCCAAATGTGGGTGGGCCTCACATAATCAGTTGAAAGCCTGAATAGAACTACATACTGTCCTACCCCAAGCAGGAGGGAATTCTGCCAACAGACAGCGTTTGGACTTGAACAGCAACATCAGCTCTTCTCTGGTCTACAGCCTGCTGTCTCATCCTGCAGATTTTGGACTTTCCAGCCTCCATAATTGTGTGAGCCAATTTCTTAAAATAAATCTGTTTCTATTTATACATACATCCTGTTTGTTCTGTTTCTCTGGAGAACCCTAATTTAGGTATGCTATATGCCGTGGGTATAAAAAGACACCCTGCATTTGAAAGGAAATCAGATTACATGAACCCAAATCTGGCCCCACTTTAAAATTTTTACATGTTTCCATCAGTCTCCAGGTTCCATATAGAATTATACTATATTGTTTAACACACGTAGTCTTTGTATGGACAGGGTCATAACTCACCAAAACTTTTAAAATATCTTAATCTCTTTAGAAATTTTTCAATTAGCAAAAATATGCAGGAAGGTATTGTTTAATTGAGTGAGGATAATCAAGACATGTATGATGTGTATTAGCAAAAAATGTGAGTAAATGGGTAAATTCCAGGGTAAAAGACAAAATTTTGGTGGCATATAATGGATTTCTCATAGTCCTGTATAGACCTTTCACTAAGAGAACACCCATCTAAAATATGTTATTCATCATCAAATGAGAAACAGTGAGGATTCTCCTGTAGGAAGTATTTTGTAGGTTCTTTTTAGAACATAGAGAAAATATGTCCTCAAGGAATTCATATTCAAGACAAATTATCCAATGAATGGCATCATTTGGGTACCCCATTCTGCAATTGTAAGGAAGGGACACAGATTTTCAAAGATTGAAGCCCCTTTCATCTCTTCTCTCTGAAGTTTTGCATCCAAAACTGAATAAGATTTTAAGACTTAGATCTAATTCATCATAATCTTTTCCAAGAAGAATGATCTACCAGTTTCTTCCATATTAAATCAGCAATACAGGGCCATTCCATGAAAAGCCCAAAGATACTATATAATTGTGATTATTATATTAAAATAGAGTTTGTATTTAAATGAAACTGCCAAAATAAAGAGCAGAGAGGACAAATGACTATGATGAACAGTAATGCATATGAAAAGGCCTAGACTACTGCTTTCACATGCTAGAAAGTCAATAAATGTTGGAATTCTTTCTTGCTACTCAAATATTCATATTTCCAAGTAAATTCAATTTCAAATCCAGTGTACCACTTAGAGGTACATTAGAATTTAAATTCCCTATATCTTTTTATTTTTTTTTTTTTTGAGACAGAGTCTCACTTTGTTGCCCAGGCTAGAGTGAGTGCCTTGGCGTCAGCCTAGCTCACAGCAACCTCAAACTCCTGGGCTCAAGCGATCCTTCTGCCTCAGCCTCCTGAGTAGCTGGAACTACAGGCATGTGCCACCATGCCTGGCTAATTTTTTTGTATATATATTAGTTGGCCAATTAATTTCTTTCTATTTATAGTAGAGACGGGGTCTCGCTCTTGCTCAGGTTGGCTTCGAACTCCTGAACTCAAACTATCCGCCCGCCTCGGCCTCCCAGAGAGCTAGGATTACAGGCGTGAGCCACCGCGCCCGGCCATAAATTCCCTACATCTTTAATAGGCTTATTTTTAACACCACCAGTGATAATCTCTGCTGACTGAGATTTCCATATAGGTGAGAAGTTGGCTAGTGGCTTGTAAGATTTCTCCCAAACCTGACATTCTTGGGCTTTCTTCTAGGATCCCACAGTTGGCCAGTATATAAGTGGAGCAGACCACTCACATTATAGATAGAATTTCCTTTTGATCCTAAATGTATTTTGCATTCACATAACCATAAAGTAATACCTAGATGAGGCATTAAGACATGTAATTCTCTGTGGAAATCATAATCCTTTATCATCTGTCCTAGAGCTTGCATTGTCTACAGTAGTTTCCTTAGGGATGTGTGACAGCCAGCAAAGTCATGATGTTTGAAAACCAGGAGATCCAACATCATGACTTTCCTGGCTGTCACACATCCCTAAGGAAATACTGTAGACAATGCAAGCTCTACCAGGAGAATTAAGACATGCTCACTTTGTGCATTTGATAATCTACTATCTGTTCTTCTTTAGGTACCCAGAGGGCAAGGTCTGTGCCCACTTTGATTGCTGGTACTATCCATAATATATAGCCAGTGGCCTATGCATGCTTAACAAATACCATCAGGTAATTAGAGTGATGATGGGTAGCTGTCTGCTGTTACCACTTGCCAAAGAAGTAAACCACATTTACACTTTCAGTAATTATCTCCATGCCAAATTGTTCCCATGTGGATCCAAACACTGCAGTTTTAGATGGATTCACACCATAGCCACGATTACTTAATTATTCTACTGTGAGCAGATCCTAGTTTTCAAAAGAAACAACTTTCACAACTCATTAGACAAATCTGCCTGTTGTATTATTACCCAAATAAGTTAAGATTGGGGGTGGGAGTTGGATTCAGAAATGTTTACTGAAGACAGATGGCGCTATAACTATCCTGCTGTCAGGAGCTATGGCACTTCAAGTTCCATATTCTTTTTGTTTGTTTGTTTGTTTGTTTTTATTTCGGCATATTATGGGGGTACAAATTTTAAGGTTTCAATAAATGCCCTTTCCCTCCCTCCCCCCACAAGTCTGAGTTTCCAGCATGACCATCTCCCAATGGTGCACATCTCACTCATTATGTATGTATGTAAATAAATCAGTTGTATGGCTAACTCACCTCAAGTATGTAACCTTAAATAAAATTATACATACACATGCATTACATCAATAGAATTTTGGACAAAATTCTGTGTGATTTCAAAGAAAGGGTCTATGGCATTGATTGGGATAAGGCATATGCCAGGGGTGGGGAACCTGCGGCCTTAAGGCCACAAGTGGCCTTCTACATCCTTAAGTCCAGCCTTTTGACTAAATCCAAATCTCACAGAACAACTCCTTTTATTTTTATTAATATAGTTTTGTTCATCTTTTATATTTTTATTTTATTTTTAAAATGAATGCATTTAAAATACCAAAGAATAAATAAGTTTCAATGAAATAATCCTCCCAGATTGACTGGCACAATTAGAACATTAGTCAGCCATAACGGCTAAATCGACAGCTGATTTAGTTCTACTTCCCCGGCCTAACTGGTGCCACTACTAAATAAGGCTGGTTGTCAAGAGTTTATGGGGGTCGAGTATGCCAGTCTGTTATCAGCTTTTGACAACAGTGCACTGTGTGTCTGTTTGAATGGAATTTGTGAAGAGTTGCATAGTTTGACAGTGTTTTTTAATTCTCTCTGCTTAACAGCCATGATGTCAAAGGAGACCAAGAGAACAATGAAGGAAGAAAACAGATTTTTTTAATGAGGATTGGGAATTGCAATATTATCTTGTTTCTGCTAAAGGTAAAGTGATTTGCTTGCTTTGTGATACTGCAATATCAACATTAAAGAAATTCAGTGCTCATCATATTAATTCAATGAGCATTATAACACTCATTAGGACCACAAATACTTTAAATTAGAGAGATAGCCATGAAACGTTGTATTGCAGAAATAAAAAGATGAAAAGAAAAAGCAAAGACAATTCTTTCAAGCAGAATAAGATCTGGAAATAATGCCACTGAAGCACTTATAAAGTAGCTTATATAGTTGTAAAAAGGGGAAGCCATTCAGTGATGTAGAAATTGTGAAAGAATGTATTGTCAAAGTTGTAGGATGCTTAGACCCTGAAGGTGTTTCAAAGTACAACCAACTTCCTCTTTCAAGGGGGATCATAGCTAATCAGCAGCAAGATTTAGCCTTCAACTTAACAGAACAATGTTATATGATAATTCAAAAGGAAAATATATATATTATTCAATAGTTTTGGATGAATCAACTGATAGTACTGACTCAGCGTAAGTTTTAGACTTCATTCAGCTCAAAATAGATTTTCTTTGCTAGGAAGAGTTACTCACTTTGGGCACTCTTATGAACAGAACACGGGGAATGGATATCTTCAATGACTTTCAAGATAAATGTTGTGAAGTTGGACTGAATTTGGTAAATTTAGTGCATGTACAGATGGTGCACCTTCCATGACAGGAAAACATGAAGGGTTTATTGCACAGATTAAAAAAGTACTAACAGATCCAGATGTGCTCATTTCTTTTCATTGCATCTTGCATCAGCAAAATCTCTGTACTGAACCTATTGTTTTAAATAACACTTTGCAACAAGTCATAAGTATTTTTAACTATTAAATATATTCATGCAAATGCAACATGGAATCATCAGTTTCATAACATGCTAAAGTTGAAAGATGAGATATTCAGTGTGGATTTGCCATATTATTCTAAAGTGTATTGGCTATTGCAAGGACGGGTTAGCCAAAATTTTATCTCTGCAAGAACAGATAGTTAAATTTTACAAAGAACAGAAGCAGCAATATGAATTATTAAGAAAAGATTTGTATAAGAATGCAGCATTTCTGTGTGATATCATGTCAGATCAAAACAACTTAATTATTTCTTTGCAGGGTAAAACTAAGTCTATATATGGTATGTGGCAAAAAAAGTCCAAGCATTTCAGACAAAAATAACTTTTCAGAACATTTCTTTAAAAGGAAATTTCAGATGACCATTTTCCCCAGTTAGCAAAGATCATTGATGAGCAGGATAATATGTGGGAATCATTTGAAGAATACACAGCTGTTATACACCTATTAATAGGAGAATACAATGAAAGGTTCACTGACTTTGAGAATCATGACATGGACTCAAATTAGCATTTCAGCCTCACCTAGGCTGATATCACCAAGGCACCTAAAGAACTACAGATGGAATTGAGGGAGCTCTCAGTAGATAACATGTTTGATGCTAAGAAACATCCCATGGAAATATAGAAAAATGCAGTAGAATACCCACGCCTTTAGCAACACACCTGAGAAATGTTTTCTTACTTTTCAACCACTTATTGCTGCAAATCTACATTCTCCTACCTAACCCAATTCAGGGTGCACTTAAGGTCACAAATGACTGATACCCATTTAGAGGATCAACTGAAACTGCAGACCTCTGTGCTGCAACCAAATATTCAAATGCTTTCCAACAAAAACCAGACACAACAAAGTCATTAAAAGGTTAGTTAACTTTAAAATTAACAAATAGTTTTCATTTTTTGAAATTCTTAAGTACATGGTAGTTAGATTTTTACAAAATAACATACATTTTCAAGTATATCTAATTGAAGTTTCTTAAATGCAGCCTTGTTTGACTATAGCTAAATTAATACATCCTTCTAGCATGAAAAGGTTCCCCATCTCTGGCATACGCTGAGAAAGACTCAGGCAAGTGGATTGGACCACAGACAGCCCTACTTCCCTCTTTTCAGTTAATCCTGGCAATTTCCAAATCCTCGGGATCAATTATCCACAATGTTAAATAAGAATATTTTTATTAATTCTCAGATTAAGTGTCAACTTAGATGACAGAGGGGAGGGAGGTGTGAGGGAGGACATGTTTCACAGTATATCAAAGTCACAGTCTTTAAGGAGCATTTCCCTTTTAAGCATGAGGATACATACATTTTTTTCTAGAAATTATTAATGTAGTAAAGAACAACTTTTGAGAAAATGTATATGCTTTTTCAAAGTGTGGCAGGAAGACATGTGGCATACCTAGGAATAGATCTAAACTGTACAAGATGGTTGTACTTAAGCTTCTTCACAAACAAAGGTTTCTGTGATTTTCTTTTTTCCACTAAGTCTGTAATCTTCTATGATGATCATTTCCTTAAAATTTACCACATGCTGATTTGCATTTCCTCTGTGAAGCTTGTACTTACTCCATATTAATGTAACTTTTCCTTTCTCTAGGCTGATCTTGACTTGACTGAAATAATACAGAGTCAAAATGGTAGCCTAAAAAATATAAAATGTCTTATTCCACAATATGATGTAATTAGCTTCAGGAATAGATGGTGGAACCACTGATACAAGAGGAAACCAACCTACAGGTAGACAAAGGAAATACCCAGCCTACGCTGACAACCATTTTTGTGCCTTTGGCAAGAATATGACCCAGGTGGTAGGATTTTGGAAATAGAGCCTTAGATTGGATAACAGTGCCTTTGCTAAGATAACTATGCTACGTCAAGAGCCACCTAAGACCTGCTACTCCACACACATCATCTTTCTATCCTTACTTCAGGCCATCTATCCATCCTATTCTATGTTCACTTAACTGCACAGGTTTTTCCGAACCAAGGATTTACAGGTAGTACCATTCTTACTGTGTGACTGACCAGATTACAGTCTTGCTATAACTGCAATGTGTCTACACATGCATATATAGGAGGAAAAATTAAAGGAATTCTAAGTTATCCAAACAAGTTGCAATCAATTCAAATCAGTCAATAAGTGTTTTTAAAATCCTATATTCCTAATCTAATGTTGTGGGAACATAGAACCCAATTTATAATGCCAAGAGCTTTAAATAAACAAAGTGCAGAACACAACCTCACAAACACAAAAGTGACAATAAAACAACTTATATTAAAATACAGTATAGTAGTAGTTCAGAGAAAGGAGATCTAGCTCATGGAAGATCAAACCAATTGAAGCAATCACAGACTCTCCTTCACCTGATGTGTTCCTGGAAGGCCCTAAACTTCTATTTACTTCCTGTGTGAGAAATCTCTGACTTAGTTTGAAGCATGCATAGTTACAGAACGTAAATTCTACATTTTACTATGGAGAAAGGGGTAGACCCATTGGGAAAAATTCATTTAATAACTGGAAACTAATGTGGGACATGCCAGAATAGCTCAGAAAGTATTCCAAATGTACTTCAAACCCCAGAATGAAGCTGGTGGGCTATCTCCACTGTTCATCATGAGTGTGAACAGAGACATGATCATGGTGGTAAAAACCAATTGGGTTTCTAAAAGGAAACCTCTGGTAGTCAAATTTATTTTTCTTTGTCATGCACTATGAATAAAATGATACTTACACCACTGCATAGTTTAAATTATTTCCTGGAGTGCAGTGGGCTATGGAACTTAGGGATCCCAATTTTAAACTCACTTTTGGGGTAGGGAGGAATTGGCACTGCACAGTGAAGCATTTCATCACCTAAGCTCCCTTACCCAAAAGAAACCTCTTTATACTGTACATACAAAAATTCCATTACTCTAGCCTGAGATCAAGTTTCATCATTCCACAGGTTCAGTTAACATACTCCAAATGAAAGAATCCAAACAGACATTTGATAAGCTATCTACCATGTATCACATTCATGCCAGTTGATTAGAAGAATGTATTCCAAAATGATTGACAGTTCTTTGACAATAACAATTTATTACCTGTCAAGCTGTAAGGTATGCTTTTGATATACAGAAGTGAAATAATATTGAAAAAAAAAAACTAACCCTAAGTTAAAACAGAAGTTATACTATTCCAAATAGATCCCAGATGACTATGAAAAACATATTTGTCTGGATAATAACAATTAGATAAGTGATACATGTTATTACACAGATGACAAATTTCAATGCGATATACTATATAAATACTCCTACCCTATTAAAATAAAAAATAATACTGAGCTCAGTAACTCAAATGGATTAGAAATTTGGAATGCTAAATTTGGAGAGAAATATATAGCAAAAGTTTGGTAGTTACTATTAAGGATCTGACTTATTTCCTGTAAGTTAGTGGATTTACCTCTAAGTTTTAGACCCATATATTAGAGGAAATCTGTTATAATTGTTTCACATTGGGTTAAATGGTTGATATTTTTACCATCTGAAACCTGTTATTTTGTAGCTGAGGTTTATCCTACTTTCCTATAGCTTCACAAACTTTCAATTTTAAATTACAGAACTTACATGCTAATTATAAACTTTTATCTTTAAAAGTGGTGCTGCCTTTTAATCATTTTCTGTAGTTGGGTTTTTTTCTAAAACCTTATAGAAGATGGTGTTGTTCTTAATTTTGGCTGTGGAAGATTTCACTCATCTTCCAGAGAAGTTCAATGTCCTATTAATATTCTGGTAAACCTTGGTCAAAGGCAGAATTTAATGCAAAGCAAAATGTTTAGGCATGAGAATTTATACTTAAAACATACAAAAATTTATCTGTGTTAGCAAAGGAAACAAAAGTTCTGATTTTTTCCTCACCTGTGGAACATAGAGTGCTATTTCTTCCTGTATTAAAATTAGTCACAGCTGGGTTGGCTCAGACAATGAATAAAACTGTGGTCATTTCATGGGCAAGCTAGTTAATGTTATTCTTTTTTCCTCCTTAATCATTGGCTGTGCTCTAAATTTTAAAGTGTGTGCTTTACCTGGAGGTGGAAGGTGGACGTGTAAGTACAAATCCATCACTGGAGGAGCCCAGACTTCTAAATATGTGGTGGCCCAGGAATAGTTGTTCAGTAGCCTTAACCCTAAGTGATAAAGAAATGCAAAAATGGGACTGGCCACAGGAGACTACATTAACTCTGGTCATTAAAGTACTAATAAGTATAAATAGTAACAGTGACAACTATGGTTTATTTAGGGTCTCTAGGACCAAACATTGTCTGTGTACTTCCTCCCTCCTAGTAATATGGGTATTTTAATCTACATTTTACAGATGAGAAAATGTTCAAAGAAAATGCTCGAAGGTTTTCTATAACTGGCCCAATGTCATGTGGTCCATAGTAATGGAGCCATGTCTCATCCTAAAGCCCATGCTGAAACCCAGAGGCTTTTGAGACTTTGTCAGCGCACCCTGAACACCAGAATCACCTAAGAAGCTTCTTACGAACATATTTCCTGGCCCCAGGAGCTGAGTAAGTTGATTTTGTAAACCTGGGGGAAGCCTGGGAATCTAGTGCCGTCTTTGTTTTTAAACAGCTTCCCTAAGTGAGTCTGACCCTCACCAGGTTTGGAAACCACTGCTTGATGGAGTGTTTTTCTACCTCATTAACATCAAGTCGCACCAATAATGAGGTTGTCTGTGCAGCTCCCGGGGAGAAGTGGCCAAGGCTGGTCCTAGGCAGCAGTGAGAGTCCCAGAGCCTCTGGTCACTCCTAGTCCTCCCCAGGCCTGAGGGGTCAACACCCCAGCACTCAGGGAAGCCAGTCCCGGAACACTCTCGTACCAGTCGGGACTCCCCAGTCCCAAACTCTGAGCTAGGCTGTGTGAGCCTACACTGCTCAGTGGCTTAATGCCATCATATAGAGAAACACTCATATGACCAAACTTCTGAAATGGCTTCACACAATCTCTGAGTCCCCTGGAAAGACTCTGGCACAATCTAACTCATTGATTCCAGTCTTGACCAAGAAACAGATGACCCTGTGGTCAGAACATAAGGAGTTCAAGCTTAGAAATAGGAGATTAGAGAAGAAAAGGGAGAGAATTTTTCAACACTTGGTCCTTAAAGGACATTTTTCTAATCTCAGTAACAGAAAAAATTAGTCCAGCAGATTCTCAGCAAGTAGATAGGTGCCTTCGAACTTCTCTGTAAGGCATGAACAGGATGGGGTAAGGATGTACCTCTCGTGTGACTTTGCTTGTAAGTTTTAAATCTGGATTTGAATTTGACTCTGTTGATCAACGGCTTTATGAACTCAAGCAAAAGATTTAACCTCGCCAAGCCTAATTGTCTATATCTTCTATGGGGATTAAATGAGATAGTATGTTGCCTAGCAAGTATCCTTCAAATGCTAGCTGGTATTATCCCAGCCACACTTGTAGAAAATGCAATGCTAGTGGCACAGTGGCACAGGCACAAAGCTTTCCCCTATATTCCTGTATTGCCAGGATCATGCCTTGAGTAAGGTCTGGCTGGACACTGTGATTCTGCATAATGAGGGTCTACTCTGATGCCAGCAGACACCCTAAACATATGGCCACTCACGGGGTGCCCCAGATGGAAATGTGAGGGTCACCACGACTCTCCTACCCAGCCATATGGAACTTTTTTGGTTCTACGCATGCCTCTTTGTTCTCTCTCACCATGTTCCTTCAATGTAGAACACTCTATTTTCCACCTCCCTCTATCCTTCTGGCTTTCTTTCAATGATCAGGTCTCCATGAAGGTGCCAATTCCTTCTTAAAGATGTCCCTGAGGCCAAAGTCTGGGTATGCTGTCCTCTTACAGCTTCTATAGCACCTGCAACACAATTGGCCGTTTCCTTGTCTGGATGCACCTTCTGGTTCTACAAGTGCTGAAAAGCAGGGACCTTTTCTTTAAGCTTGTTATATCCCAAAACAGAGCACAGGGCCTGACACATAAGAGCAATCAACAATTATTTATTGAATGAATGATTAAACTTCAGCATCCTTCCCTTTCTAAAACAAAAAATGTCATAAGTAATTAGAACTCCCTTCTTTCTTTTAAGGAGACCTATGTAGTTATAACATCTTCACTCCACCTTTACCTTACGAAAGAGGTGCTGCCTTTAAATCCTGAGCTCTGGGCTAAGGGCTGCTCAGGATGGAAGGGGCAGTGCCCTGGAGGAGAGAAGACATGAGGTGAGAATCCCAAGATCAGAGTGCTACTCACCTGAAGCACCATTTCACACATTCAACACTTGGTTTTTCACTTATAAAACAGGAAGTTTGGATAAGAAGGCTCTTCCTAGCTCTACCATTCTGTGGACTATCCCTGGCTGCTGGGCTTAGCAGCCACTTCGGCAGTTCTGCCTGGGGTTGGTATTGAGTTCCTCCAGGAAGGCATGATGGATGGTAAAATGCCTGCCCTGAGCCTCCCCAAGCGCACACCCTCCATCTTCCCCACAGCCCTTCCTCTCGCCCTCACAATAAGCACCCTGTGAAGGGCTTTGCACGGAGTAAGAAACAATTCAGTTTGTGGTAGTGAATAAAGCAAGGTCATTTTTATTTAGTTAACCTTAATGAAAGAGAACTTTCCTAATGGTTTCAGTCTTGGCATTTGGATCAAGGAAGTTCAAAAAGACTTAGGCAGAACTAGGGAATTAGGCAGAATACACATTCCTAACTAAACTTAGGGTATGTACAAAAGGACTTGAGAGGAATCAAGTTATTCCTCTTTCTGTCTTAGATATATCGGTGGGTCCCATCAGCCAAGACGGGAAGCAGGGCATCATCCCAGACACTTCCTTTTGATGATCTACCACATTTAATGAGTCACTCATTATTCTCACTTGATGTACAAAAACAGCTTCCTAACATGTCTCCCGGCCCATAACCTCACCCTGATTCAGTACAATTCTCGTGTTTTCTGGAGGGTAATTTGCAACATGTATCAAATTCATTGAATTGTTTCTACTCCTTCAGCCAGCAATTAAACTTCCAGGAATATATCTTAAGAAGCTAATTAGATATGAGCACAAAGATGTATGTGCACAATGATGTTTAATGGAGCATTATTTATGATGGCAAAACACTTGGAAATAATATAAATGTCTAACAATTGTTTCTCAATTGGTATACTTCTATATGATGGAATACTGCTCAGCCATTCAAAATCATTTTGTAGAAGAAAATTGATATGAGAAAATATTCAAAACATACTCCCTGTTAAGGGAAAAAGCAGGTTATTAAATAGCAAGTACAACATGAAACCATCTCAAAATACATACACACATGCACATAGATATATCATACACATATACAGGAAAGCCATCAGAAGAATCTATACTGAAATGTTAACAGTTATCTCTGAGTTGTTGGAACATAGTATTTTGGGGTTTCCATTTTATGCATTCAGTGCATTCTATTTTATAATGAAAGGTATATTATTAGAATACATCCATGCAAACCTGATTTTGTTGACTCTTCAGGGGGTCCCCATTGCCTCAAGATCCAAAGTCCTGAACATGACAACTGCGAGCCTTCACAGCCACACTCCTGCCTAACCCCTGCGTCCTCAAGTCCCAAGCTCCCTGCCATCCACGCCACTCTCTAGCATGTCGGACCTGCTTCCTCTCCCACCACTGTGACTTTGCACATGCTGGGCCCTCTCCCTGGGAAACCCTCTGCTTTTCTGTGATTGGCAAACTCCATTTAACCCTTGAAAGACCACACCAGAGAGGCTGTCCTCTGTGATGCTCTCCCTGCCTCCCCTGCCCCAGCCCAAGGAGGTGGTCACTATCTCCTTTGGGCTATTTGTAAGTATCTCCGTGTTTGTAAGCACCCCACTTTTTAATTGTTAAAACTAAAAGAGGAGTTGATAATGAATCAGAGGAAAAATAATTAAAGAGAGATTTAGACTCACTATACTTAAGTTGATTTTTCTGTCTTTCCTACATTTCCCTGAGAAATTGAGACCTGAAAAGCTGGGACCAGGTCTTGATCTCCCCTGAATCAAACACTGAAGCTGGAACATTGTAGAGGTTCAAAAATATGTGTTGGGAAGCCGGGCGCGGTGGCTCACGCCTGTAATCCTAGCTCTCTGGGAGGCTGAGGCGGGCGGATTGCTCGAGGTCAGGAGTTCGAAACCAGCCTGAGCAAGAGCGAGACCCCGTCTCTACTATAAATAGAAAGAAATTAATTGGCCAACTAATATATATAGAAAATTAGCCGGGCATGGTGGCGCATGCCTGTAGTCCCAGCTACTTGGGAGGCTGAGGCAGCAGGATTGCTTGAGCCCAGGAGTTTGAGGTTGCTGTGAGCTAGGCTGATGCCATGGCACTCACTCTAGCCTGGGCAACAAGCGAGACTCTGTCTCAAAAAAAAAAAAAAAAAAATATGTGTTGGGGCCAGGCACAGTGGCTCATGCCTGTAATCCCAGCACTCTGGGAGGCCGAGACGGGCAGATTGCTCGAGGTCAGGAGTTTGAAACCAGCCTGAGTAAGAGTAAGACCCCGTCTCTACTAAAAAAAATATATAGAAAGAAATTAATTGGCCAACTTAAAATATATAGAAAAAATTAGCTGGGCATGGCGGTGCATGCCTGTAGTCCCAGCTACTCAGGAGGCTGAGGCAGGAGGATCACTTGAGCCCAGGAACTTGAGGTTGCTATGAGCTAGGCTGAAGCCACGGCACTCAAGCCCAGATAACAGAGTGAGACTCTGTCTCAAAATAAATAAATAAATAAATAAATAAATAAATAAATAAATAAATGTGTGTGTGTGTGTGTGTGTGTGTGTGTGTGTGTGTGTCAGATTAAAACAGATCACAGAAATCTAAAGGAGAAATTTCTGCTTCCTGTGAATTTTTGATAGTTAAGCTTCAGGTTCACAGCCCACTTGGTCCACCTGAATTTCTTCCATGTTCCAAACTTTTGGACCCAATGTAATTTACATGCCTAAACTGTAGAAGCTCAACACCTTTCAAAATAACTAATTTTCATCAGATAAACTTATTAAAATAATAAAATAACTCACATATGCAAATATAGTCCAAAAGTCAAGAAATAAAAATAAAGAACTCCATTGCTATGAGTAAAATGGTTTTGAGGTCTAAATAAAAGAAAGTGTGAAATTTGTTATAGTGCATTTATTTTTGGTTAAATGTTTTGATAAAAAGTAAATGTGGCCAATTTTATCAACACTAAATAATTACGGTTGACATAATAGCCACAATCTTTAGGATTATATTTTTCTAGGTAAATATTTCCTCCTAAATAACCAAAAATCACTTTAACCATGACAATATAATAATGGTGAGATAAGTCTGAGAATATTACAAAACCAGAAATAAAAATCATTTTTTATCTGTCCCCTTCACCAAAATTTTTCAAAATTGGGATTGAAATATCATCAGGACTTACAAAACTGTTTTAAATTGTATTTTTAACACATCATCATAATGTAGGTGACTCTTCCTTGAATGTACATTATACTTAGGGTCATTATCATTT